TTCGACGAAAACTCGGAGAACTGGGGATACGACTCAAATTCGAAGGACAGTGATTGCCTTAAATGGAACGTAACCAGTGCAACATCTTCTGCGCTCTCTATCCCTTAGCCTACCTTAGGTCGGTGGCAGGACTGTCCTGTGTTCTAGGAACACAAAGCCCAGGCGGTTATGAAATATACCAATACTATTTTATTATAAGAATAACAATAAAATTAATGGAATTATTCTTAGGAGTCCGAGGGAATTATCGAAAGAATATTGATGCAGAGTCAACTGGCGAAAAGACAAACTATGAGGACTGTAATGGTCTGCGCGCGTAGCCAGAATCAAAGGGGAATTTCGAAAATATGTCATGCAAAGTTGGCGAAGTGTTCACGCCCGCGGGCAATTTGAGTATTCGCAAACGACACCTTTTCTGATAATGTGCAACGCTTCCAAATTGGAAGATACTAGAAAAAATAATAAGGGATGAGAAGAAGCGTGAAAACCCAATAATGGGAAATTCGCCTTCAGAAAGTGTTTAAATGAAAAAAACATTAATAACAGAGCTATAGAGGGGCAGGGAAGGTTCCACGTGAGATAAGAGTGTAATCCGGGGGATTTTATGTGGTGGTAGACACAGGACGGAACTGAGAATGCGGATAAGAGATCAGAAACCCAGGTGCAGGAACGGAATCCTGGTGTGTCCGCGGTAAGCGAAGCAGGGGTGACCAGATAGTGCACGTGAACATGACACCTCAATTCCCAAAATACACCTGCATGTCATAGGAATAAGCCTAACCACTAATATTTTAAACTTGTCTGCACCCAGCGACAACCCCACAAACTACCTAGGCTTGCAAACTTCGTCAACTGAAGCCCCCCCTGGATGCATTTACCTCCCAATCAACCCACATCTCCATACACAAGCTCAACCCATACACTCAAATCCCACCATACGCATCATCATATATTCCAACAACTACATAGTCTCCTCCAGCTAGTCCTTCACTAAATCAAACTATATTTGAAAATCATTTTTTCCACCAGTGCCTACCTCTTCCATACCAAGAACCTAAGTACAGTTCTTATATATGCGAGATCAACAGTCCACAAAATATCCCAACTTAGAACATTCGTTAAATATATAACCCCGATGAACTTCTTACTACTGAAAGATAAGCGAATAAATCAATAACAAATGCTTTTCTTTATGCGCCAAATGATAACATCTATAAACAGGACCGTGTTAGCGGACGAGGCGGAGGTTGTCTGACTTATTAATAAATAGTTTCAAGGGAGGAAGAGGATTCGAGCATCGGAACATTTGGTTTATTGTCCCGAGCTTTCAGACTCGCGCAAGGACTTCACCATCAGAGGTAGCGGAAGTAAAAGAACAGGCGATAGTATTAGGGCATTTATGACAATCGTCGACCGACGGCGCAAGACTAGAAGTGAGTGCGCAGGGCTCTATACGCCGGCGCCAGATCGATAAATCGATTGAATGGGTTCACATCCAAGGCTCGGGCCACAATCAATTCTCTCCTTGTTTTGTTTCCGCCGTGGGCGACTATTTTGGTGGCTGTGAAGTTAAACTCGTGACCCATTTTGTAGGTGTGGGCGGCCACTTGTGATAATCCATCGCCTCATCGTACAGTCAGCTTAGGTTCGTGTATGCGCGCTCCGAGCATGAGTCCAGTCTGGCCTGTGTAATTACAAGGAGAGCTTCGACGCGGGATGTGATACACTATTCCAGATTGCTCTTCAGGCTTTAACCGGTCTTTAATTCTCATGACCCTACTGCCCATGGTGGCTTTGGAGCAGTGTTCAGTTTAAACACCTAGCTCCGCAGCAATTCGCTCGATTGTTTCTAAAACGCCCTTGATGTATGGCAGAGAAGGCCATTATCGAGTTAACATTATGAGTTTGATTGGCTTAACTTTAAAGATAAAAAAATTCGTCGCTCCTGAAAGGAGAGGACTGCGGACAGGACCGGCCTTCATTTGGTAGTATATGACGGATTCTGAACGGACAGTGTCAGGGCAGAAAAAATTTCACTCACGAAAGGATAATTGTAAGGGTTAGACAGGAGTGGCCTGCATGTGGTATTGTATAAGGGATTCAAAGCGGACATCGTCAGGGCAGAATTCATACACCTGATAAGACTATTCGCATCAAAGTGGCGAGAGGAGAGGAACGTATACCCGATCGGTCACAATCCGCTTCGAGTCCAGCTGAAGAGGCAGCAAGGGAGGTACGACTAAACTATTAGCAGATGGCGAATACAGAGAGTTCCGCCGTGAGCGTCGACAGACCGCTTGGGGTCGAAATGAGGGGATGAATTTAAGGACTGCGAGGGGGAGAAGTAATAACAGTGGATTTAGTAGCCGATTAAGAATAAGGGGTAGTGAAAGTATAAGTGAGGGTTTCCACTTGATCTCCAACTAAATCTCAGGATGACAGTTTTAAAGTTCAAGAAACTGACTTTGCGGGGATGAACCGGCCAACAGTGACTTTATACTTCCCGGTGTAAGGTGCTTACGCAATTTTGATTTGTATGTCGATAATCTAGTTGACGACCTAGGTTCTGTTGGAAGATCATTCAAAAGGAAGGCATATTTAAATGCAAAAAGGGTGAGCATGAGGGAAGTGCTTCCGAGTGAAATCCCCCTGAACATCTTCAATTATATTGCGGTTACAGGCGTTCATTAAACCGAGGGAAGGACAGCAGTACTCGCGGACAGGAAGAACAAACGTTTGATAAAGACTTAGCTTCATTTCCGGAAGGAAAAAAATTATGCGATATGAATCCACATACCTATGCAGTTTTGGCAGAAATTCTATCTGCATGAGGTGATAAAGCAAGTTTCTTTGCATAGTTTAAGCCTATGCCCTTTATGGGGAAGCATTCTGAGAGTGGCTTATTCTGAAAAAATTATGAGATCAGGAAGTTTGGCAGGACCAAGAGAGATGAAACTACACTTTGCTAATGAAAACTCAATATGCCAAGCTGAATTCCATCTGCTTGAGCGTAGTAAATCGGCAACACAAACAGTTGCGTTGTCCTTGGAATGTGAGTAAACAGACTGGAGGTCATCGGCATAAGTAAGCGTTTGAGTATTTGTGAGTTCAGTAGAAATATCATTGATGTAAAGAAGGAAGTGTAGCGGACCCAGAACCGTGCCTTGAAGTTCGCCATTCGCGATCTACTGAGGCGTCGAGAAGCTATAACCGGCCATGACTTCCTGATATCGGTTGGATTGATAGGACCTGATGAAGTCGAGTAGAGGAGGCCGGATGTCAAATGCTCCCAATTTTACTAAAAGACGGCTATGGGGCACCTTGTGGAAGGCTTTATTAAGATCAAAGTACATAACTACCAATGATGGCTGTTCATCACGAAGAGCAGTGAGCAGATTAAGTAGTGCCAAGTGGCAAGTTTCGCGGGATCTTTCAGATAAAAATCCATGTTGCTAATCTTGGCTGAAGTGAAGAATTAAATTTAACGTTCTTTTTTCAATAACTTTTGCTAGAGACAGTATTTTGTGCATGCCCCAATAGTTATTAACATCGAATTGAAATCTAGACTAGGAGAGGAAAATGATAACTGAGGTTTTACATGCTTTCGGGACTGGTTCGTACTCAGTAGTAAGTTGTTTTGCGAAGAAAACACTCAACAACTCCGCCTTGTCAGTGCTGTCGCTGAGGAAAATTTTGTTATCGTTTAGCAGGGGTTGAAGTTCGTGACCACGCTTAGAGGTGGACCGATGAAGGAAGATGTTAGTGACGGATTTGCCGCTCACTTGGCTCATCCCTACGACCATTTCAAAACTCTCTGTGATTCTAGGATGAATGGATAAAGAACTAATGGATAGGACATGCCGTTACCGTTTCAAATCTTTTAATATACTACAAAGAAAATAAAGAACAAGGGAATCCGCGGAATAAGACTTGAGATATCTACGAGGCAAAAACCCCAAGACGTCTTTGGAAACATTGAAAATGACGTCACAAAAGATGGTTGCATTACTACAAGAAAGAAAGCTACACCGATCCAAAAATCCAGTATAGTTATTAACTAAGTCGTTATCCACGCAATCGTAATTCACTTAAGTTCGAACTGTGCTAACCTTCTTTGAAATGGCACGCGGTAAGCGACAATGAATTATCATGTTATCATTATCTAAAAGATCCCTTTTGAGAGCAACAAAAGGAGGGGCAATGTCATTGATAAAGATAACACCTACAGTTTGATTATCTCTTGTTGGAGAGCGCACCAGTTGGGACCAGATAGAAAAGTTGACAATATCTTGAAAGGTTTGGAATCTTGGTGGACAGATATTGAAAGCCCAGTCTAGTTTAGGAAGGCCAAAATCTCCAGTGATTATTTTAACATCGAAAGCAGCTTCCCGAATTAATTTAAAGATTTCACAGTTTGGTGAAGCATCACTGGCTAAATAGTTTGGGGATTGTATATACAGCCAATAATTGCTTTTTGCGGCGAGAAAGTTACAGAAGCAAAGCAGCAGTTTCCCATGAATGAGTAGACATCCAGGCGATAGGGAAAGTGCTTCAGGTAGGATCTAAGATAAGGAAGACAACTGCCCTCGCGCCTAGTGCGGTTTTGACGGTAGAAATCAAAGCCGCCTATAAAAAGGGCAGGATCGGGAATTAGAAAATGAGTCCAAGATTCTGTTAAACATAACATATCAGACGTCATTTCGAGAGCAATGGCTCTTATTCGGATCATATTGTTTATAACAGACCTGGCACGCAGCAATATAATATCTAATGTTTTTCGAACAGCAAGGCTATTGTCGACGGTATTTTAAAAAATTTAGAGGTAGATATGTAAGCTGTGAGTTAATTTTATATAGGGAATAAGCACCAGTTAGTCTAGAGTTATTTACTTAGAGGGAACAGCAAGAGAGGGCTGGATATGAGACCTAAAGGATGTGGGGATATAGTTTTCGAGCATTTGAATGCTAGGGGAGTCAGAACGCGGATAGGCTTCCCGGTAGTTAGTCTGCGGAGGAGGAGTAGGAGGAGGGAGGAGGAGGGGAAGAAGGGAAAGGGAGTCTAGAAGGAAGGTAGAGGCTAATGGGGGGTAGGTCGCTATCTAAAGTGGAGGGTGGAAAACCAGGTCTAGGTGGAAAGTCAAAGGAGTTAGCTTGACCTACTTGAGAGCAGTTTACCTTGGGTGGTTGGGAGCCTGAACTAGGTTGGGGGATTAATGACTCGGGGCGATTCACGGAAGAACTATTTGCAGGATAGATAGCATGGCTTTGGTAAGTAGCCAGTATGCGGGATATGGAATTATTTGGCAGCACAATTGGAACTGCGGCGTTTTAGAGGAGATGGGTTGTAAAGGCTTAGGAGATCTAAGATGAGGCGGTATATCACTGAATGAAGTTATGCTACATTTATTTTGCACCAGAATCAAAATACTTAGTGAAATCGAAATATCATGCGTAAAGTGCAAAATCATTGTCCCTAGATTGCAGAACATAGTCGAAGAAAGAGAGCTGGCAGGTGTCACAAGATCGAGCTTTGAGGAATCCATGCTGAGCAGCATTCAGTAGGTCGTTCACTGTTAAGTGACAAAACTTCTTATGTTTGATCAATGTCTCTAAGATCTTCGAAACTGCGGGGAGGGTGTTTATTGGACGAAAGTCATCAAATGACGTAGATTTGCTGTGCTTAGGAATGGGCAAAATGTGTGATTCCTTGCACAAGTTAGGATAAGTTTCACTTTCAAGAGCAAGATTAAACATCTTGCAATAGAAGGATGGGAAAATCGTATTTGCATCGACTATAAAATGCTTACTGGAATACCATCAGATCCTGGACTATAAGATTGGCGAAGACGCCGAATCGCAACAGTCACATCCCATGGAGTGAAAGTTATGGTTTCTAGGACTTTCCCAGTCAGTGCCTGGATGGTCGGAAGCGGAGTGGTCGAGTCTTCAATGAACGTTTTGGACAGGAAATCATTGAAGCTATCAGCGGTTAACTGGGCATCAACTATGAGATTTCCGAGAGCGTCTCGGGGGATGGGATACTGCGTCTTTCTCTGAGTTCGTATTTTTCTAGAGAACAGTTTCCAGTCACTTAACGAATGGTTTTTGGCAAACTGAATCTCATCGGCTAGCTGTTTTTCTTCAGACAAACTCCTAGCCCGCTCAAAAATATCACAAATTAAGGGCAGAACAGAAACATCGTTCTGAAGATGGAATCGACGATAAAGTCTGCGCAATCTGCAACGAAAGGGTAAGGGTAGGAAAACCTCATTCCCAACATTAATAATATTCTTACGGGGGACAAAACGAGAAATAAGCGGATCCAAAATTTTGTACAGATTTGCAGTGCAAACATTTACATCCGAACTAAGAAAGAAATCATTCCAGTCCTAGGAATTAAGGTGTGTTAATAATTCGGTTGAGCGAGTTGATCGGAAATCGCGGAAAAAGTTATACTTTGGGGACAGCGTTTTGTCAGCCTCGAATTCCAACGTTGAAACAACTATGTCATGGTCTGAGCCCCCGAGTGGGCCTAGGAATGACACTGACGATGGCATGCAGCCTCTACAGAAAATTAGGTTAAGTATGCCTGATCCTCGGGTGGGAAAATCGACAACCTGATTCCACATCCCAACATCCACAGCCTCAAGAAAGTCTTCGAATCTTCTGGGGCCTGAAGGCGGAGACCGGCGGACTTCAGGGAGATTAAAGACGCCCGAAACCAATTTATACTTAAAGCTTAAGTCGGCCGCAGCATGAAATGCCTGTGAGAGTAAACGATCAAGATTGTCGTTGTCGTTTGGGAGGGAGAAAGACGCAGCCAACGAGTAAGGAGAACGTATTTTTTAAAGCAACCTGGAGCCAGCAGCTGCCTTCTACTGCGGAAAATGTGGGAGGTCAAACGGAGAGAATGTAAGTGTTTGCTTAACGTAGACGCAGCTGCCCCCACCACGACTATCTTGACGATCATTTCGAATGCAATAATAGCCTAGAAGCGAGAGGTCGGAGTCAGCTACTGAGGCTGATGCCCACGTCTCAGTTAAACAATATCTGAACAATGGGCAAACATCAGAGACTGAATCAAAGGCATCTTATTGAGCAAGAATCTGCCATTCAAAACAAAGAGTTTGAAGGGAAAGGCTGTATGTTTCTGAGGGAGAAGGGCTACATCGTCCAGTTCTGGGCTGCCCACGTAGCAAACGGTCCGCATGCAACCATCCGGTCCCGCAAAAAATTTTGTGGCATCGAAAAATTCTGATGTGGATAAAAAGGGGTAGGACTTGGGGGAGGGAAGGACGAGCAGGTGAACTGGTAACCACTGATAGCTTACTCATTTTCGGCTGGAAATCCGCGGGGCAGATGCTGCAACACAATCCCGCCGGAACGAAACTGAGGATAGGATGAGTTAACTGATCCAGTATGGACACTAGCATGAGGAATACATTGGTAAAACGGCCGTGGTGAATAGAAGTTAGGGGGTGGGGGACGCATTGCTTCCGTTGGAGCAAGAGTTCTATTAAACGGCGAGAAAATCGGCTTATTCGGCCTAACTGCCTCGACTTATGTTAATGTTCCTGATTTATGTTAATGACTGTATCAGCGAAGTGAATTTCGAGGCTCTCATTTTCGCGGATGACATAAAAATATGGAGTGAAGTCAAGTGTGATGATGACGCAGAGAAGTTGCAATCGAACATATGCAAACTGTGTGCTTGGTCGAACAGATGGCTTTTGAAGTTTAACGTGTCCAAATGCGTGGTTTTGCACCTGAACACCGGCCGCAATGCCTCTCCGAAACACCAGTACTATATTGACGGGACGAGGTTAGAAACTGTGGAAAGACACAGAGATCTGGGTGTATGGACGACCACAAATCTATCGCCATCAGAACACTGTAGAAAGATGGTCCAGAAGGCAACTAGTACTCTACACTGGATCAGACGTGCATTTAAAATATTTCCTCCCGAACTTTCGAAAGACTCTTTGGTGTCTTTGTAAGACCTCATCTAGAGTATGGAATGCCAGCAGCTTCACCATGGATGAGGAAGGATATCAACTTACTCGAACATGTGCAACGCAGAGCGACAAAGATGGTCGACTGTCAAAAGCATCTGTTTTATCAGGAGAGACTGCATTTACTTGGCCTATTCCTTCTCTCTTATAGACAAATAAACTGCAGTCTACTCTGGATGTTCCGGATTGTTCGCGGCCAGGGTTGCTCATTAAGAGCAGAGGGTTTTTTTGAGTTCGCCCGTACAAACCAACTACGCGGCCATGCATACAGAGTCGGGAATGAACGCACGCGTTTAGACCGACGAAAATTTTCATTCAGCCAGCGGGTTGTCAGGCCGTGGAACTCGCTTCCAAGCGAGATGGTGACGGCTGACACAGTTTGTGTGTTTAAAAGAAAACTTGCTCGTCTAGTTTTCGACAGAAATCGACTTGTACAGCATAACTATGCACAGCCAGCTTTGTAAAATCTGTCATATACAATCTTCCGCACTAATTTACAGTGACCCTATGCACTACCTTATGTTTACGATTGAACTGTGACCCAATCACATTTTAAATTCCTGCAATTTTATTTTATTTTTGAGTATGAATCTGCGAAAGCACTGTACATAAATAGGGTCATCTAGGGCTCTGCCTGTAACCCTTCAAATATATACATACATATATATACATACATCGATCCTTTTTTCACTATTTTCTTTATTATTTTGCAACAAATGCTTTTGAGACTCAATGAGCTGAAGCTATTTAGCGAGGTTTTTTCTCGCCCTTTATATATGGGGCTGATGTTGGCTAGCTTCCAGTCAAAAGGCAGAGCCCTCGCCTCCATTGAACTTTCGAAGGTCTTGGAGGTCGGTGGGACTAATTGGTCTGCGAGTTCATAGAGAACTTTTGCGGATTTAACATCCGGACTCGGTGACTTAGTGGGCTGCGGCCGTCTCAGAGTTTTCCATACTGCGTACGTTGGGAAATTCACTGTTGGGGTGAACAATGGTCACTATCGTCTATGCCGGCCGGCTTTACGCATTCAGTGCTGACTGTGTCGGTTTTGCCGTTGCGGTCGATGACAACATCTTTGTCAGATTGACGAAGGACTTAATACGGCCCGCTACAGGGCGGTTGGAGTGATCGTCGGACAGCGTCATGCCGAACCAGGGCGAAAGCGCATTTATCCAGGTCGGGAGGGATGAAGGAATTGGTCGGTGACTCTCGAGGGGGCGGTGCAAGGAGATTGCGCGTGACACTACGCAGCCGCTCCACATAACTTCAGGGTTCAAAAAAACGTTGGCGTGTTTGAAGTAGATATTAATTCTCCGGGCACTCCTAGGGAGGTTCCGTAGACAAGACCAGCTGCAGTGCAGCCGATGTGGGCGTTGAGAGTGGAACGGAGGGACAAAATCTCCTTAGGCAGATGATCGGACCATCGAGAAGGATCGGGCTGGACCATAAGGACAGTCTTGAGCTGTCAACGAAAGCGTTCGACGAGACCATTTGCTTGAGGGTGGTATGCTGTTATTCGGATTCGGTTGGTACCAAGAAGGAAAGTGAGCTCGCGAAGCAACGTGGACTCGAATTGGGATCCGTGGTCAGTGGTGACGGTCGCACGAACTCCAAAATTATACACCCAATGAGTCCGGGAAGCTTTTGCTACAGTTTCGGCCCTGATATCCGGAATGGGCGCAGCAGCAGGCCACAGAGTAAGGCAGTCGATGCACATTAGTATATACGCAAAATCGTTAGATGGTGGAAGTGAACCTACCAGGCCAATGTGTACATGACTGAAACGTGCATCAGAAGTGGCGAAAGTACCTGGCAGGGTAATAGTATGCCGATGCGTTTTGACTCACTGACATGGTAGACAAGATCGGGTCCAACGCCATATATCCTGGTTGATGTTGGGCCAGACGAGTTGGTCATTGATTAGGTTCACTGTCGTCCGGACTCCAGGGTGGAATATATTGTGAAGAGCTTTGAACACTTGTCGTCGTAAAATTGCATGGACAAAAGGACGTTCGTGTCCGGTAGAAAGGTCACACGTTATCGTGCCAGTGCCAGTGGGAAGGGGGACATCTTGAAGGCGTAAAGAAAAGTTTTCGTGGCGGTATTGGGAGAGTTCACCATCCGATCGTTGAGCCTCAGCCATGGGCGTGAAGTCTATAGCGTCTGTTGTGACGGAAGCCATATCGATTATTTACAGAGCATCAGCAACCACATTTTCCTTACCATGAACATGTTGGATGTCGCAGGAGAACTGTGAGACGAAATCTAGATGATGAATTTCACGGGGCAAATATCGATCGGGAGAGACCCTCAGTGCAAAAACGAGTGGCTTACGGCCTGTTAGAACAACAAATTCGCGACCCTCGAGGAAATGTTGGAAGTGCCGGATGGATAAGTAGACGGCAAAGAATTCGTGGCCGAAGGCACTGTAGTGGGTCTCTGCTGGCCTGAGGTTGTTCGAGAAGAAAGCCAGAGGCTGTAGAAAACCATTAACAGTTTTCTGAGGTGATGCACCAACGGCTGTACCGTAAGCGTCTGTCATGGGAGTAAGTTGAGCATCAGCGCGGGGATGGGCAAACAGCGTTGCACTCACAAGTGCGGTCTTGACGTCATCGAAGGACTTGACAGCTTCCTCAGTCATTACCAGTTTCTTTTTGGAGTGAGCCAACAAGCAGTTGAGTGGGTGCAGTATGATGGCACCATGAGGAAGAAAACGGTGCTAGTAGTTCGCCATCCCCAAGAGGCGGCGTAGTTGGTTGATGGTTTTTGGGACGGGGAGCGTTAATATGGCCGAATCCTTTTCTGGGACGAGCATCATCCCATCAGAGTGCACTTCGTGACCCAGGAAGATTAGGCTAGGGACTCCAAACTCACATTTAGCAGAATTGATTACAACGCCGAAGGAGTGGAGTCGTTCGAAGAGTTGTCGAAGATGAACCTCGTGTTCAGCAGCGTCTGAACTAGCCACCAGAAAATCATCAATGGAGGCGTAGATGAAGTCAAGACCTCGAAACACCTGAGCACTAAACGTCTGGAAGTGGCGTTTCTCAGACCAAAGGGCATACGAGTGAATTCGAAGAACCCAAAGGGAGTACTAACTGCAGTTATCGGAAAATCACTGGTCTCGATTGGTATTTGGTGGTAAGCACGAACAAGATTCATCTTGCAGAATATCTGCTTACCATGCAACGAAAGAGTGAAGTCTTGGATGTGCGAGACGGCATACTGGTCGGGGACAGTCCCTGAGTTCAACGCCCGATAGTCACATCATGGTCGCCAGTCGTCGTTCTTCTTTATACAAGATGGGGGGATGACGACCGCCAGCTGATGGACTCTCGGATGATGCCGAGCTCAAGCTTTGGCAATCTTCAAACGGTCCGAAGCTAGACGACGTCGTCGGCAAGACTTGGTAGGTCCAGTGGTAGAAATGTGGTGGGTGACTGTGTGTTTGATGTCCGCTTCACGAAATGAGGGGTTGGTCAGGTGGAGGAAGTGCCTGAATAGTGAGCAGAAAGGACAGTCAGAGATGGATATAACAGTGAGAGTTTTGACGCAGGGACTCACATCGTATTGACGAGTATGGAGGTTGGTGATGCAGTCGACGAGTCGCCTATTCCTCAAATCAACTGCTGGACTGAAGTGAGCTAGAAAATCGGCATCTATGAGGGCGACGAAGACGACGACAATAATGAAAACCCATTGGGACATCCGACGAAGGCGAAAATCAAGTGTGATGGAGCGCTGTCCAAAGCTGGGGAGGCTTGGGTTGTTGGCAGATGTTAGACAAATAGAGCTGCGGTGTTTGCGTTCGGCTGGTGTTGGTGAAACCGCGCTAACCTCGGCAACAGAGTCAACAAGAAATTTGGCGTCAGTGATGAGGTTCCAGAGAAATGGACGGCGAGTGTGAAGATTGGCGACGCTTCCAACAGCAGTGGCCTCTACTGTCGGGTGGGATCGTCGCCCTGAGGCCGTTGGAGATGCCTTGAAAGAGCATGACTGAAGACATCGTCGAGCTGCTCCTCCAAATTGTTGGTAATACCAGCAGACGCTACTTGGAGCTTGTGGGCGGCGGGTGTGGGAGACGGAGGATGAACGCCGACGGTTTCGTGCTCGTCGCAGGCCGTTATTGGTAACTACAATGAGCTGGGCTTTCAGGCACATTAATACCTATGTATATGTATATATTGAAGGGTTACAGGCAGAGCCCTAGATGACCCTATTTATATACAGTGCTTTCGCAGATTCATACTCAAAAATAAAATAAAATTGCAGGAATTTAAAATGTGATTGGGTCACAGTTCAATCGTAAACATAAGGTAGTGCATAGGGTCACTGTAAATTAGTGCGGAAGATTGTATATGACAGAT